ATCAAACCAATTGCCACACCTAGTTGTTTTCTCACCAACACTTTGATTTATCTTACCCATAGGAATGGCATCTTGATAATATCATCTTCCAACTTTCTAGCCAAAACCCTTGCTGTCACTCTCTTGTTCTTAATTATAGGCAGACAATCGTGTGTTCCGAGATAAATTTTCACTTTGAAAGAGTTAGCATTCCCATGCTTCGAAGCTAGTATCTCTCACTCACAACTAATTTCAGTACATTTAGCTCTAACTCTAACCTTGTCATTTTTCTATTTAAAGCTTTATTTTTTATAGTGCTATATCAGTGCTATGTATTTAAAGCTTTATTTTTTTATAATTGGTAACAAATTATTTAATTATGCGTGAATTTTGAAATAGGAAGTAGTAATGGAGGAAAGATATTAAAGGTAAACAACATTTTGTGATACATGAGAAGTAATTGCAACCATTTATGATATATAAGAAGTCATAACAACTTTCGTATTCAATTTTTTAATATCTTTTTGTCTAAAGTCTAAATCTTAAAGATTAAAATTATAAAAAATAGTTTATAATGTTTAAAATAACTAAAAAATAAATTTTTATTAATTGTACGCATATCGAGCAAAAAGTGTTCAATACTTTATCAAAATGATAAAATCTATTGATTGTTACAATATACAAATTTCCATTTTTATTTTTCTTTTCACTCAATTTCCCTCTCCTTGCCAAATATAAGGAAGTTGGAAAAACAAGAAAAGAATCACTAAAGAAAAATATGACTTTGATATTTACAAAAACATTCCGTATTCCTTTTTTATATATATTTTCATGTTTCTTCTTATCAACAGAGATAAGTAATGCTGCCTTGATCTGACGAGGAATATTCTTCTGCCTCCCTTTAAAAGAAGATTTGGAATAGAATATCCTAATTTGGTTGCAACAACTTTTCAAGAAGTAAAAATCAAATAGGAAAAGTAAGTAGCAAAAACAACATCCAAAACCAAGCCTATAAAAATGAAAAGCTCTGTAAGCATATCCAGTGTCACTGGACTATTATATGCCATCAATGCTATTCACCAACTAAAACAAGTTCATACGCCATGGCAAAACTTCACAAATAATCCCCAAAAAACTCTCATTCTTAAAAAAAAAAATTAAGAAGCAACCACTAAAAGCCTTCAATGGTTAACTTTCATGTTATTTTCAAGAAAACAAAAGTGAATATTTGACTTCAGAAGAGACCGTTAAAACCAGCAAGGACAATATGGGCAAACAATCAAACACCAAAAAAAATTGGGTATTTATGCTAACAAAATAAAAATTGTAACTATGGGTATCTAAAATTTATGAGAATTAAATTGTTACAGTTCATTGAGACCGAAAAAATCAGACACCTTAAATGGATATGGATTACAAGTTTAAAAAGAATATATATATATATATATAAAGAAAAAGTCTACGAGAATAAAAAATGAGAGGCCTAACCATGGAAGCTTGTGAGAAGAACGATGCATAGAGACTGGGATATGGGAAAAGGACGAGACGTAATTTCACATTTAATTCATCTTTTTATTTATTTATTTTGTTTCCGCTGGGAAATGAAGTGAAAACTGTTGCAAGGTTAAGTTTAAGAAAAGGGTTTTAGGGGGAAGGGTTTTAGACAAGGAAGAATCGGGGCCTGTTTGGCAACATGATTAGGCTGACACAAGTCGATTATGGACAATATAATAATTTATTGTTTGGGCCCAATGAAAAGGGGAAGCAGGAACAGTAGTGACGAAGCCCATCAAATGCTAAGCCCAAGGAACAAATAAGGAAGAGTAGAGAATGAAATTTGAAGTTTAAACTTATTTATTAAAGTTTGCACCTTAAAGACATCAAGGAATTGGAAATCAATTTTAATATAAAGTATGCTAAATCAAAATCTTATTTTCTCAAGTTATAAATATTTTCACTTTTTTTTTGAAAATGGATAATTTTCTTGGCAATAAAATTTTTATACAGCAAAATAACTCAAATTTTATCTAATTATTTTTATATCTCTTTGTTGAATCTTTTCTCCTTTCTTCTCCCTTTCAAGTCAAACTTCCTCTTGTTTATAAAAAATAAAAGAAAAGAAAATTAGGATTAATGCCATAAATGGTCTCTTTGCTCTAATTTTATATTCAGGTTAATCCCTAAACTATATTATTAATAGAAAAATATCCTTCTACTCATAATTGACAACTCATCAAATTGATTCTTGGGTTAACTCTTTTGACGATACAAGAATTTTTTTTGTTAGATTTCAATAAAAAATGAAAAAGATTGAGACAATATTTCTCATCAAAGTGACACATTTCAAAAATAATTTTGAAATAGTTGGTTTTCCTTTTACTTTGCTATTTTGTTAATAATATGAAATAAATTCATTGGTATGAGGAATGCAATGAAGCATCGCCACTGGTTAGGTTTAAATTTAATTCAATAGCCATATAGGTTCCACCGCCATCATTAATTATTGTTAGATATGGCAAAAAATAAGAAAGAGAAAACCAAACTACTTTAGCTTCACCTAGAGCAAAAAATAGAGTTACAAAGTGTTCTCTCTCTAAAGCTCCCAAAGCACTACTCATAATTCTAAAGCTTAAAGATCCATTTTTATAATATAAACTCCACAATAGAATAGATTAGGACTTGATGTGGAATAAGAAGTTTAAAACTATACAACTACTCAATATTGTACACAAACAAGAATCCTAGTTAAATAAGTTATAGAATTCTAGTCAACTTAAAACTCGACAAATCTCCGCCTTTGACTTGAATTCAAACTCCTTAAACCTCTTTCACTAGTCGCACCCAATTGCAACTTCTTAAATCCACCTACTTTTCAACACCTTGAACAACTCTCTAAGCACAAGACTTTTCAAATAATTGACCTTTAAAATTACCACGACTACACACACCGAATTAAGTATGGTCCAACACTTAATTCCACAAAACAATAGTTGTCAAGTCAATACCATTAATTGACTTCGAAAAGGGACCTCAACAACCTTTCTAATTCACCATTGACAAGATTTTTTGTCCTTTCACCATCATCTACACCATGAAAACTTTTCATCACCTCCTTGACAAATGAAATCTCACTTTGGTTGCTATCATATCCCATGCACTATTCCCATCCTTTCAAGGCCTCATATTCTAACTGATACAAACCATTATGCAAATTCTCCCTCACAAGGACCATGTTGCTTGGTGCGACTTTTACCACTCCATTACAAGTAAAATATTCATATCTTTTGGAGTGTAATAGGCTCAATGATATTAAATCCTTATGCATCTTTAGGACATAGGCCACATCAGTGCTTAACCCCATCAAACATTTTGATTTTCACCACTCCAAGACTAATGACCTTCACTATTGACTTATCACCCAAAGTTAAATTCTCAGCCACCCTTTCTCGAAATAAATCAAAATAATCCTTCTGGTAGCATACGTGAGTGGCAAAAGCAGAATCTAAATACCAATCAGAATTTGCATTCATATTTTCAAATATTGTAAGGCCTTCATAATCATCATCGTCAGCAGCAAAAGTGCACTCACCTTTGTTCTCATTACTTTCATCGTTTTTTGTAAAATAATTTTTTTTATGTCCATACCCTTTGCATTAAAAGCACTAAATACTATCAGATCTAGACTTGCCACCCTTAGATCCCATGCCAATTAACTTCCTCTTATAAACCTTAGTAACCAATGTTAAGCCGATAAAATCTCTATCCCTTTCATACTTTTCTTTTAGGTTTCACGAGATATTAACGTTGCTTGTGCTTATTCTAACGTTATTGTATTCATCCGACATATCAGAGATTCCACAAATATCTCACAAGAGTCTGAAAGCGATGGTAAAAACAATAATTGTGTTTCCTTTTCTTCCACCTTGACATCAACCTTCTTCAACTGATCAATGATCTCATCAAATTCATTCATATGCTTCATGAGGTCTCTATTCTCCTCCATCTTTAAGCAATACAACTTTCGCCTAAACTATAACTTGTTCAAAAGACTTTTCGCAAAGTAAATTTTCTCCAACTTTATTCACAACCTTGGAGCAGAACCTTCGTCAATAACATGGTTAAACACATTATCTCCAATGAAAAGTCGAATGGTGCTCA